GTGAAGGGAATGTCCATCCTGTACTGATAACCAACCATCTTTACGTTGCAGCTGTGGTTTGGTGGTACGGTAAGCTGTAACGTCACAGAGTGGGAGATCTGCTCTGTCCAGGTATTTCCACGTGAGAACGTATGAGTCGTCTCTGCATTGATTTCAACATGTCCTTCCACAATGCCGGGAATTCCTGTTTTCATGGTTGTTCTTATACCGACTGTGAAGGCATGGCTGCAGTCCCACCGTCTCTGATCGGTGGTGGTCTGCGTCAGAGAAACCGTCTTCGTCACATTCATGTGGGAAAGGTTTTTAACAAATGAGCTTCTCAAGGTTTTTGGAGGTTCTTTGAAAATTTTATCATGTTTGATGTTATACTTGACATCAGAGATTAAATCTTCTTCAGCCTTCACTTGGGTCAGAACCTCATAGCTCCTGTACCAATACTGCTTCCCTTTCCAGGGAAGATAAAAACATTGATCCTTTGGATCAACCTTCCCCAATCCGTACTCGTTCTTCCCTACATACATTTCCTCACTGGAGCAGGTTCTGATTGAATTCTTTGGGACAGAACCATAAGAACCTTCCTTCCACACCACAATTTCAAAATTATCTTCATTCACAAGGATTTGAAAAGAGGAGGAAAGATTCTCTTTGTTCTTATTTGGGTAGTGACAGTAAGGGCCCATTCTGGGGTTGTAAAAACCAGAATTGCATCCGACTTTGCAGATGTAGTCGATGCGATCAGCGTAGCTGTTGTAAATGGAAACAGATCCATTAGGAAGGGAACCGTTCCATTTTTCCCATCGCAGTTTTCCTGTATCACCAACCTCTGGCAGCGTCACGTTTACTGGACGTTTGTGTTTGAGTGCAATAGAAGCCAGAACACGTCGGACCATTGAGACGGACACGTTAGCTTCGATTTTAGCAACATCATGCGCTGGATCGAGGTTCAGGGAGGAGACTGTAAAACAAAAAGAGTAGTCATGCTTTTTACTGCTGGCTCTAAAGACGTCCGACACTTTAATTTTTGCAACAAATATTTGATTATTAATGCTTTCAAGCTTAAAGCTCAGCTCGGTGATGCAAACTTCTCCTCTTGACTCGAGGTAACATACTGACTCACAACATCATCACAGAAACGTGTTATTTTTTATATATATTTATATAAAAAAAACTTGTATTTTAAGGGTTCAAAGAGCTCAACGTACCATTTCCCCTCCTACCACTTTCATCTGGTGGCTGGTCCTGAGGACTGGCTGAGGAGAGAACCAGTAGCAACAGCAACGGCAGCTAAAAACACAAATCAAAGTTATTATAATCACAACTAAAGCTGCAAGCAGCCTGTTAGGCCTTCGCAGCTCAGCGCCGGTCTGGCCTCATGGTGACTGCAAGAGCCTTAACTCCGGCACCGCCGCCTCGTCACAGGCGTCAACGCTCCTGTGCAGTTCCCACACCTGCCCACCAGGCAGCGCATTTGGTGAATATTCCAAATAGCCTTCAGTCCAGATCAGTACGAGTCCAGCAGTAATTATTAAGAACTTGGCTGAAATCTGACCTTACAGACTGAAGTTATTGTCACTTCCTGTTTTGTGGCGAAGGTTGGGGGGGACTTCCTGTAGAGCTTGACACGTCAGGTGTTGTTATGAAGAGTTAGTGGATACAGTTTCAATCTTATGTCATAAGCAGGGCGAAGCATCTGCGTCTGCTGGGATTTTTGTGAGAACCTTAAATATTGTAAATTTTATCTGCCAAGTTTGGTGAAATTTTATAAGTTTTGACTTTCAAAAGTCAGTTTATTTGTTGTAAGCATAATAAAGAGCACAGTGATCAGATTGGGCCTTGGCAGAGCAAATGTGACCCTGAACAAAGCAAAACTTTAACACAACAATCTGTTTGGATGAGAGTGAATCCCTGCAGAGACTTTCCCCCAAAAATTAATTGTTCAAAATTCACTTCATTTTATTTGTTGTACAAATTTAACAAAAAGTTAACAATAGTTTCTAAAAATACGTTTTCTATTCCATATATGAATTCATTTTTTTTGTCATGATTAAAATATTTTCTTTTTGCTGAACTGAAACATAATTTGTCAGCAACTTTGCTTTCTTTTTTTTTTAAACAAAAATGGTTTGTTTTGCAACACAGGTTTCACAACAAAATGATGCAACGGCCTGGGAACCTTTTCCAAACATTACCAGCCTTCAGTGTAAAAAACTCCAAGACATTTATTGAACTAATAATAAAAGTGATACAAAGCACTGCTGTGTTAAATTAGTTTTGGTTTTAGTTCAACTCGTCCAAGAAAAACTTGTTTTTGCTCGCTTTGAAACTGTCAGCAGCAGGTAAGATACTGACTACTCTAACTCCCATCATGTCTGTTGAAATGTAAATCCCTTTAAGCCAATTGAATATTTAAAAACAGAAACATGTTTCATTTTACCATTTCTGTCGGTTGAGTTCTTCTTCACAGCGGTGAGAAAACAGCANGTTTTGTTTTGTTTTCATCCAGACGGCTTCCCATGCCCCCCCTGCAATGACACGGCGCCCCACCTAGGGGCCACGCCCCACAGTTTGGGAACCTCTGATCTAGATTATTCCATTTATATTATGTTTAATGCGCTTTAATGCTTCAAGGTAGTTTGGATACTTTTAAAACATTTTTGCATGATTTAAAATTAATGCCTAATTTTGACTTTCTGGTTAGAACTAATTCCTGGTAGTTAGTTTTATTTTACCATCTCTGCCTGTTGGTTTCTCCTTCACAGCAGTGACAGAACAGCAGCAACAGCTGTAAATAAAGAGACAAATCACTTTTAGTTACTACCATTCAAAAATGCCAAATTAACCAACTAGTTGTAATACAAAACTAGCTGGATATTTGTTTTATCCCTCACTAAATCATAATGTTGAATTACTGTATTATTTTAGAGGTAGAGTCAAAAAGACAAACATCTTACCTGATTTAGACGAGTGAAGAGTTTTCACCAGGTGAATATTTCTCAGATCGTCTTTATAGCAGAAACCTGCAGGTTGTTTTAGAGGCAGAAATGGTTTCATCTCAGCCTGCTGCTTCTTTAATACCTGATTATCTGAAGGAGGATTCTTCTAAAGAGCCTATCAGAGCTTAGTTCATTACACACAACACCAAATAAAGGAAGGACTTCTGCAGACTCACATGATTGGTTGTTGGGTATTGTAGCCGAATGTTTTTTGTATTGCATTTACAAATCATATCAAATGAAATAAAGCTAAAGCAGACTGGGTTTCCTCGCTGACATTTACTTGATTCAGTTAGAATCACCCAGAATAACAGAATAATAAAAGATGTTTAACTATACATCCTTAACATTGTCCCTGATGGTTGAGCTTATTGCTGATGTTTTTCGTATCTGGATGTTTAACTGCTTCTCCATTTAACGTGGCAGGAAAATATTCTGGAGAAAACGTTTGACATCAGGGACAAACATCCCTTGATGTTTAATAATGTTAAACATCAAACATGGGAGATTATATTAAAAACTCAGGGACAATATTAGATATCCTGGATAATAAATGTTAAACATCGGGCAAAGTTAATCAGCCAGGATGGCATAGCAGTCAGGATAAAGTTGAATCGGACATGATGGTAAATGGTGACGAGTTACTGCGGCGTCTCGAAGCCTTTCAACACATTGCCAAACTATCAATGCTGTGCTGCTGAATACTGACCCCTGCTGGACCTTAAAATCCCTGCAAGCACCTCTTGCAGCCTAGCTGACTCCATCAACTGGCACTGATTTGATGACCTAATGTGCACAATAATATAATTTAAGTCATTGTATTTTATATTGCATATCTGCAGATATGCTTTTCGACCTTTTCGACCTTCATAAGGGAAGGTTGAAAAGGTTTGGTTAGATTATCAGTATTTGCAGGTCCCAGATCCTGCAGTTTATCCAAAATGCTGTGTGAATCCTGACCAACACCAGGAACATGGATTACATTACAGCAGCTTAAATCGCTGCAGTGGCTCCCTGTGTGTAACAGGTCTGTCCCTCCAGAACCAACTCTGGTGAGCAAAACTGCTCAACCAACTGAAATCTGTCAGAAAAATGATAAATTCAGCCTAAAGCTCTGATCTGTTCAGGCTTCTAAAAAGTATTAGTGTGATAAACTCAACAGTTAAACTGATTAGTTGGTTTTAAAATCTGTTTTTATTTCATAAAAAGTGAAGAGTGTTGATTGTACTGATATTTAAAGAGAAGCCTCAATTTGAAACAATGGAAGTTTATTTTCATTGCTTATAAACTTTATTAATGCCAAAAAAGACGCATAATAGCTCAGGACACATTGATAAAGACACAAGCTTATAGAACCAAATACATTTGCATTAGATGGTTGTTGATCTTTACCAGAATTACATAGAAAGTGGCTCCTTTGAGTAATCACATGGTTATAGATTTAAATAATTTCTCTGTTCACAATCATTTTAATATTAACTTGCATTTGGTGGAAACTTTAGGGGTGCAACTGCAAACACAACTTAAAGTACCTCAGTTTTAAAATCACAATTCCATGATTTTAATGTTTAAGTCAAACGAATCAATATTCTTTATTCTGGAGTAAGCAACAAATGTCATGTCTCGTCATTAATGGGGTTTAGTTTTATTCCAGAATTTTAGAAAGTGGGTCGTGTATAACTGATTTGGCTTGATTTCTCCAATTCATAAGGGCATCAAATAACACAAAGCAGGTCGGAAATAGTTGCCGTTGTTCAGGAAGTTTTTAAGACGATTATCCCAAATCTGACTTCATAAGTTTGGAGATGTTTTGATATGCAGACAATCCAGCCACTGGATCAGAAATGTTCTGTATAACTAAATGCACCATTGCACCCCTCCTGTTTGCATCCATAAAGAGTATGGATAAAAAAGCATAAATGAAGCTGAAGCTCTTTATCAAATGCCTAGTAAAGTCACATTGACTGTACTTTAGCAGGTTTTAACACTCCAAATGTTCTACATCACTTCAGAAAAGTGTTTGGAGTCGGACAAAGGTTTGCATCTTTCCACTTCAGCCCCAATATCTCCAACTTGGACTCCATAATACGATCCAGAGATGATGACTGATCTGGTCTCTCCGTCTTCATAGGTTTGGCTGAGGCGGGCGGTGAAGGGAATCTCCATTTTGTACTGAAAACCAACCATCTTTACTGTGCAGCTGTGGTTTGGTGGTACGGTAAGCTCTAAAGAGACAGAGTGGGAGATCTCCTCTGTCCAGGTATTTCCACCTGAGAATGTATGAGTTGTCTCAACACCGATTTCAACCTCTCCTTCTGCAATCTTGGGAAATCCTGCTTTGATAGTAGTTTTTAGGCTGAATGTGACGGAGGAGCTGATGTCCCACCGTCTCTCTTCTGTGGTTGTCTTAGTCAAAGAAACCGTCTTCGTCACAGGTCTGAGGGCATGGTTAGTAACAGTAGAGCTCTGCATGGTTTTTGGAGGCTCTTTGAAGATCTTTTCTTTCTTTGTGTTATATTTAACATCAGAGATTAAATCATTTTCAGCCTTCATCTGGGTCAGAACCTCATATTTCTTCATGTACCAATATTCCTTCCCCTTCCAGGGAAGATAAAAGCATTTATTCTTTGGGTCAACCTTCCCCAATCCGTACTTGTTCTTCCCTACATACATTTCCTCACTGGAGCAGGTTCTGACTGAATTCTGTGGAACAGAACCATAAGAACCTTCCTTCCACTCCAGGATCTCAAAATTATCTTCATTCACCAGGACTTGAAAAGAGGAGGAACGATGCTCTTTCTTTTTATCGGGATAATGGCAGTAAGGGCCTTTGCTGGGGTTGTAAAAACCAGAATGACATCTGACTTTGCAGATGAAGTCGATTCTTTTGGCGTAATTGTTGTAAATAGAAACGGCTCCATTGGGAAGGGAACCCTCCCATGTCGCCCACTGCAGTTTTCCTGTATTACCGAACTCTGGGAGCGTCGAGTTAACTGGGATTTTCTGTCTGAACGGAGCAGAAGGCAGAACACGTCGGATCATTGAGACGGACACATTAGCTTTGACTTTAGCAACATCATCCACTGGATCTGGTTTCAGGGAGAAGACTGTAAAAGAAAAAGACTAGTCAGGTTTTTTACTGTTGGTTTTGAAGATGTTACCCATTTAAATGTTGCCACACTTCCCTATAATTCACAATTCCCTGTAATTCTATTTAAGTTCAAGCTAAAATCTCAAATCTATTGTGCCAACTTATCTTTCTCTACTAGAGATAATATTCTGACTCCAGCAGCTCTACAGAAATGTGCTTTAAGAAAAGAAACTTTTATTCTAAGGCTTAACTCTCCTCTCGTACCGTTTTCACCTGGTGGCTGAATCTTCTCCAGGTGCTGAGCGCAGGCTGAGGACACAACCAGCAGCAACAGCAACTGAAAGGAGCAGAAATTAAAGTTATTCTCAGCTATTATCATGATAAAATACAACTTTCCAGCAAATGCAACAAACACGCAGCTACAGCAAATGGTAAAGTCTTTTTTCTTGTGTCTTTTTGTTTGCAATTTTTTTAGGAATGACTGAAATCCAGTCAGTGATTCAACTTGAAACCTGCTGAGAGAACTTTGCAAAAACCGTTGAAGGTTTAGAATTCAATCCGTTTTAATTGTTGCACAAATTAGTTTCTAATAGAACAGATTCACAGAACATTGTTTTTATTATTTAATGATGTTTTACTGAACTGAAGGTACTAATTTAATGAGGTTCATGATGCATGAACAGAATGCTGCAGATCAATAAGATCAAGTTAACACACAGTTCTGGAATCATGCATCATTCAGTTTCACTGGCCACACCCAAACCCAACTCCTGCTTAATATGTGGATTTAAGAAATTACTTAACTGATGCAATATAAAATAAGTTACCTAAAACCCCAACCCTACCCTAAATACATACAAAGATAAATACTTAGAGTTTAGATACCAGAAAAAACAATTCAAGAATTTTATTTTGACTTTGTGGTTAAAAGTACACCGGGCTGAGTTTTACTTTACCATTTCTGCCAGTGTTGGTCGTCTTCAGAGCAGCAGGGCAGCAGGAACTGTAGATAACAAAGATATCAAGGATTAGATATTTGTTTCATCTAATACCAGATGCAATATAACATCGTTAAAGAAATCATAATGATGGATAATGTATTATTGAAGAGAACAGAGTCAAGAATGTGAACATTTTACCTGATTTACTGAAGAGTCTTTGATCAGCTGACGAGTTCTCAGGTCTTGGTTTTTGGCAGGTTTGGTTTAGATGTAGAAATGGTTTCATCTCATCCTGCTGCTTCTTTAATATCTGATTATCTGAAGGAGGATTTTTCTAAAGAGCCTATCAGAGCTTAATTCAACTCACACACCACCAAATAAAGACACGACTTGTGCAGACCTACAGGATTGGTTGCTGGTCGTCACCAGCCTCCTCAGGGTCTTTGAGGTGAAAATGTTGCATTATTACTGAATGTTTTAATNCAGTAANAATGCANCATTNTTGTATTGTTACTGAATTAACACAGCAAATGTATTAAACTGAAGCAGATAATTGTATGAACACATCACTTTTTCTCAATGCATGACATTAAATCAGACAAAACTATTCCACTTTTAGTTCAGTTATAAAAATATATTTTATATATATATATATATATATATTTACATGTGGCTATTAGTTTGTAGACTCACACAAAGACCATTTTATCTTTGTAGAGCAAATGACACACAGAAACCTGAAGTGACTTTACCACATCCTTACCACAAAGTTGTCAACAGAATCACAAACTTCCTGCGTTCTTGACCAAACCTTATGATGATCCGTATCATTAAACTCTTCTTTTTGTTACTTCTTATGTTATTGATTTAGGAGATCATTTATTATCACAAACTGCATGAAGTTGCTGAGCAGAAAGTGTGAAAGAAAACATGAGTTGTGAAGTCAGCTGTCATCGTCATGGTTACATACTAAAGTTTATCTGAAAGCAAACGACCTTTTAATATTTGAAGTTATCAAAACTGTATAATAAAGCAGTTTGTTGTAATAAACGTCCGTTATCTTATTCAAACTTTGCATTTCTAAATTCTTATTTCATAAAACTTAAACCTGTGGCTAGACCTACAACATAAAATAAATGAGAAAATATTAACGACCTTTACTTCATAGCTTAAATTACTGCTTTACAGACATTGAAGGATTATTTTGAAAACTGCATAAAATATGTAACACATTAAACCAATCAGGAAAACTTTGGCACAGTTTGAGATTCTGTCCTGTTAACTAAAAGAAAAAAATATACAATGCAAAAGTCTAATGTTGCATTTTAATACCATTTCTAGTTGTGGTTGCTTTGTTCTTGTTCATCTCACACATTGCTGTGGTGTTAGAACCTCAAGATCATTATGAATCATTGTTCTACTTTTCTGCTGTGTGGTTTGTAGAAACAGTGACTGAAACTTGACATCGTCATTTTAACAGACTGATTCATGTTTCATATCTTAAATTGTTTTGAGTCAGTTCACCACTAAAGCTGTTAGATGCTGCAGGTGGTTCAAAGGATTTAATCCACATAGTAGGAGCAGATTATATGAACTTGATTATGAGAAATTATGTGAAATACAGACAACAAACTTTGATTGTTTGCCATGATCTGGGCATCCTGTTCTGATGGTGTTGATATTGGGAACATTTAAAACATGCAGCACACGTTAAGGACTTCTGCATCTTCCAAGTTCCAGAAAAGAACTTTGAAGAAAAACAATAAGAACCCATGGAAGCAGAAATATGTCAGTCAGATCTGCACCTACAAACATATCTGTCAGGTTTGTTTGTGTAGAACATTTCAGCACTTTAACACAATTAACAAGCAAAAAGGAAAAATTACATTACAGTGGAAAGATAAAGAAGTGATAAAAAGTTGTAATCTAGACGAGAACAAGTCTGTTTTAGTTTTTATTCAAAGGTAGCTCTAAATAAACAAAATGTTCTGATTTAAAGGAACTCAGTGTTTCATTGGTTTTGATTCTGTTGGATGTGTTTTTCCTTAATATATGTTGCTTTTAACTTCGTTGTCCAAGCACTTTGAGTTATTTGTGGCTGAAAGTTTACTTGTATAAATAAAGTTGCCTTTTTACCATTTTTCTGGAAGTTAGACCAAATTACAGGAACATTAAAACTGAATGCAGCTTCTCCATGTTGGGTAATCCTGGGTAAGTAGATCAGACTTAAAAACCAGACGACCTGTATTGTCAGGTCCTGGGTTGTTTTGAGGTTTATTCTTCTCCAGTCACCTCTTACTGGTTCCTCCTGATTTCCATTACTTCACTGGTTTACCTGCTGCCTTTTGTTCTGGATTTCTGTTTTTGTTCTACTCTGGCTCCCTGTGTTCACCATGTTTTATGTTAGTTTGTTTTTCATAATTTCTTAATTAAAACTAAAATATTCCAAAGGATTTTGCCCACTGGGAAGATTTATCCAAACTACCACTCCATGTCTTGTAGGCATTTGATAAAATTGTGCAATAACAATAATATTTGAAATAGAAACTCCACTTAACCTCTTTTTGTTGATCTTTATGTTTATGGTTATAATATTAGTTAGCATGTTGTGCATTACTACTGCTTATCACCACGTCTTAAGAGAAGTGATGTTACCAAATTAACCTTATGGGACATGTCTTAATGACCAGATGCAGATGAATGGAGAAATGAGAAGAAAAAATGGCCCAAGCTTCAGACATTACAGTATCAAAACTATGTTGTTTCCTATAAGATCATCAGATCTCAGAGATGTCGAATCCCTCTAAACATGACAAACGTATCCAAGGTGAACGTTGGTGCCAGAATAGGTTTTTCTAAAATTGTGAATGTTCATAGAAAAACCAATTCATATTTAGTGTGCAAAGGACAAATTAAATATGACAGTTTGGATGTTGCACGATGCTTGGACTATGATGGTGTTGGAAGAAAAAGCAGAGAATGTGACCCATAGTAGCAAACCACAGAGGAGAGAACGTTTTAATCAAACTTTTGAGTTTAGGTAAACATGTCAAAACCGTTTCCAGAGAAAACAAAAATATTTAACCTTTTCAATGCTTTTTTTCCCATAGAGACAAATTAACCAAACCTCAGAAATTCATAAAAAATTACCAGTTTGGCCTAAAAATCTGAAAACATTACCAAATAACCACACATGCTTCTCCCTTATGCTGTTTCTCTTCATGCTGTTATGTTTAGGTACGAAAGAAGAACAAAATATTAAACATTACATTGTTATGAAGCTTAGCAGAGTTACTAACCCTGATGTGGTTCACTGATTTAGTGATCGCCAAATATACACACTTTTGTTAAATACAAACTTATAGTGATGCTTTTCAAGATGCAGAAAAGTTTAGAGTGGATTAATCATTCAGAACAAGTCAACACAAGTATCCTCAAAGTTTGAGCTCATTTGGATAAATGTGATTTTTTTTAAGTAATTTTCAGACTTTTGTCAATAAGCCCCGCCCATGTCCGTCCACCATTACTGTGTTAAATATGTAAGGTAAGCCCAATACCCTGGAGATACATGCAAAGTTCGGACAAAATCCAGCCATCTCAGCATAGCAAATTTCTCAAATTTACAGCGCCACCTACAGGTGGGCTTGATTAAAAGATGATTAAGCATCCTCAATATCTTATTTGTAATTTGGAGTATAAAGGACAATTTGGAAATTATATTATTGGTATTATGATTTTGTGGCTACTTTTGTAGCGGTGTTTATTTAGCTGTTGTAAAAATATAAAAATTGGGACTGATAACTTTTTTCTATTTCTTAACTTACATTCTGCAAATGATTGCGTTGATTGGAGTTTATACTGGGGAGTCACTTTGGTTAAAGCTAATGGAAGATTTGTCGCCTTCTAGAGAAAAATATTCTAACCAAAGTGACTTAAACATGGCGATCAGTTGGAGAATCTCTTTAAGAAACTTTGCCCGGTACTTTTGTCAGTAGTTCCTCCAGTATAACAGTTATAAGCTAAAACACTTTTTCCTTTCCAGAACGCCTCCTAAATATAAAACTGTGCGCCAAATCCAAAATGCACCAATACACCCTTCTTGATCACATCCGTATGTCGTGTCAAAGTTTATTTATACAGCACATTTAGAACGACCTGAGCTGATCAAAGCGCTTTACAACAATCACATCACAAGCAGATACATGATAGGAAAAAAAATTTAATTAGTTTGATAAAAGTAAGACGGTTACAAAATTGGCAGAAGATACCAAAAATTAATAATATGACTAAAAACAAAGCTATTGAGATTGAAAAAGAAAAGTGGAATCAGTGAATTGACAATCATAAATGTGTGGCAAAGAGCCGCTGTTTGTACTTTTAGCGATTTCCAAAACTCCAGATGTTCTACTTAATCTTAGAAAAGCGTTTCGAGTTGGAC